GAGCCAAAATACCTTCCTATGCCATGTTAGGGTTCGCAACTCACTGGTGCAAGCTTCTAAACTAGGCTCACCCCATCACTTTAAATTTTTAATGTAACATCGGTTCAATTTCGTGTTTCTTTACTTCGTCGAATTCACATTTTTTATGCATGTGCAAGTTTTAGCTTGATAACCACAGTGATATAATGTTTATATAGCACAACACAATCATATATGGCAACCAAAATAAATGTGATAGAATGTCTTTGGAATCATCACAAAATTTCTTAAGAATTAACACACTTTTTCTTTCAACACTGTATGGTCAGACAAAAAAATATGAAACCCATACCAAACCAAGTTCAACAATTATAATATTTTAACTACTGCTAGTTCATCGAGTTAGAAAAATATTTTGAGAAGAATACCAGGGCTAAAAATGATTTTAAAATGGAGAAATAATTTTTGGAAGAAAACTGGTTTTCTGGGACAGTGAGTTACATTAACCTCCAGCACAGGTGTTCTATGTTCAAAAAATAAAAAGGGGCCTCAAACGGTGTAAAAAAGAGGCATGGTCAAAATGGTTTGCTAAATTTTTGAGTTTGGAACATATTTCCAGAAGAGTGTGAAGACTGAAAACTAGTGGAAAATGGTCAAATAATTTTTATAAGAAAACTGGACAGATTCTGTCATATTTTGGAAAAATTAGCGTTTCTCTCTCAATACTTAATAAAAAATTATGAAACCAATGGCATTTGAAAGGTAACTTAAAAATCTAATTTTTCCAATTTGAATCACTTGAAAATTCATTCTATGGAATAAACGGTGACCTGGTAAAGTCAGCATTTGCTGTTGCCTCCAAACAGCAATAAAGTTAAAAATATATTTAGGCCATGAAACGTTGTCAAATAATTTTCTTCAATATTCTAGCACCATGAAAACATGTTAAACTAACTCCAGTAGTTTCAGATTTTATGAAAGTGTTCTCATGAGTTTGTTAAGGGTTTATTCAAAACAGATTAAAAATCTATTTTGATGGAAGTTCATTAGTTTGCGAAAAACACACTTTGTATCCACCATGAATCACATGCCAGAGTAAAAAAAATGCTTCTTACTATTATTCCCATGTGAAACTCTAACCCTTCATATTTACTTTCATTAGTGATAACAGAAAATAATATTTATGAAGAGTAAACACAAATTCAAAAGCATGCAAGATTGATTCAACAATGGAGAATACTTGAACACATAAAAAACAAAATCAGTAGCTAAACCATCTAATCCATACTTGTAAGAAAGGTAGAAATCACATAATTATAAGATTATCATTCTATCAAAATGTAAACATGCATTGAGTATTTGTGTATTATCAATGCACACTCTTGCATATTTTTAATATATAGATTTAGTTAAGAAAAATATCTAAGGGAGGATAGGGGTTGAGTATTTTTCCTCAAGAGCTCCTTACAAACTATTCTAAAAAATTTGTTTTGAATTGGTGACCACCAAGCACCCTCTCATCTTCTTTCTTTCTTTTATACTCTTTTCCTTCTTCTCTTACTCTGCCGTGTATCTCCTAAAGGTGGCTGAAATGGAGTTCTTATGTAGGCATTGTGAAAAGGAAATAGGTGTTTAAATTATATTTGTTTACTCTATTATTTTGCTTTATTTTATCTTTACCAAAATTTCCTATTGGCTTGAATTTCTATCCTAAGGCATACTTGCTTCCCCTAATGAGGTTGCGTGCTGTTGGAGAGGAGCATGTTCATACTGTATATATACTACAAGCCTAAGGAAAGGCCTTAGGAGTGTGGCAGTAAGCATGTTGTAGCATGCATTGGAATTCTTGTTCAGCATTCCTTGGGAAAGAAGGGTGGTCAGATCCCTCTGCCCAAAAATTCTGATTAAATTTTTATTTTACTTTATTTTATTTATTTATTTTTTTACATTATAAGAATCAATGTATATAAAATCATTGTATATATATATATATAACATAGTCACTCGATGTTTTGCTTCCTACTATCATCTAACTAACTTAGTTATTATTTGATTAACTCATTTAGTTTCTACAACTGTATTTAGATACAAAAATTTTTATCACAGAAAGATAAATAATTTTATTTAAAGAATCTAATGTTGGTATTAACCATGATACTATTAACATTATAATTCGATAATTTAATAATCAGTGTTAACTAACTTAATATTATTATTAATCAAACTAATTATTTGTCTAAAATTCAGGTTCTTACAGGGTACGTAACCCCTGCTTTCTATATATATGTGTTTAGGTTTGTTTTTAGGTTTAATGCTTCTAGATCTGTTTTGGAGCTCTAGGGTTTTCTTTTAGAGGCTGTTTTGCTAGTTTTCCTTTGATGTTTACTTATTAAACTCACATGGTTTGATAATTCACATCAAAGAGTTGTTTGAGTAATCATTTTCAAGAGTGTTCTTCTTTAGTGGAATCCGGAGATTCAAGCGTGGAATGTTTGAAGGTGTTCGAAGCTGTGCGCGGTCGTTGAGTCGACGTGGATGTTGTAAAATCAACATCAATCTAATCAATCCTGAGACAAAGGTTGCGGTGGAAGATATAAAAAGCATTGAAGACAAATTGACAGAGTTTGGGTAATTTGTATTCTTTCTTTCCTTCGTAGTGGATTGATTTGTGATGTTTCGCCCATGGTTTTTTAATTACAATTGAAGGTGCTCCGATAGTGATTTTTTCCATGTAAAAATCGTTTGTGTCTATTTATTGTTTCTGAAACAACAATCTAAATCACTTTCGTTCGTGCTTGATGATTTAGATTGTTACTTTTAATTGTTTGGAAATTTGGTACAATTAAATCTTGATCGAATCATGAATCACTTAGGTTTTTCAAGTAACTTATTTAACTATTTGTTAATTTTATGACATTTTTACCATCTAAGGCCTGTTTGGTAACCATTTCGTTTTCAGTTTTCAATTTATATTTACAAAAATTATTTCTAATTACTCGAAAGATAAAAATTATATAAAAATGATAATAATTTTTTATTTTTTATTTCTTAACCAAATTATTTTTTATTTTTTATAAAAAAATTTAAAAATCAAACCATGCATAGCCTAAGAATCTTTTGATAAGTCATTTCTTACATTGGTAACTTATTAATTATTTGTTAATGTTACGACATTTTTACCATCTAAGGCCTATTTGGTAATCATTTCGTTTTTAGTTTTCAATTTATATTTACAAAAATTTTAAAAACTGTCATAAAAACTTGTTTGATAATTTTTTTAGTTTATAAATGGTTGTCTCAGTTTGTAAATTTGAGGAAAAAAAACGTAAATTCAAAAAATGAGTTTATGTTGGTTTTTAAACAGAAATTTAAAATTTTGACTAATAAATTTTTTTTTAATTAATTTTTTTTCAAATAAATTGTTTTTCAATGATTTTTTTTTCAACTAATACTAACCGATGGAGTAATTGGTAATGCTACTTTAAACCTTGTGGAGGGGATTGTAATTTCTAAAATGTGAGGGGTGTCAATGTAATTATCCAGTGAGGACAAAATTAGTATTTAAAAAAATTAAATTGCTGACATTAGCAAAATTTGTTAGTTAACTTAATAGTCAACTAACTGATGAACCAATCTGTAATAAAACTTTAAACTTCAAGGGGATATAATTTTCAAAAAGTGAGGAAAACTGTAATAAACATAAATCTTAGAGGTGCCAATGTAATTTATCCTAACTGAACTCACTTGACAGTTAATTTAAACAACGGTGCTAGAGGCCTCGAATTCGAGGCCTCGAATTCGCCTCGACAACAATTTTTTTTTTTTTTTTTTGGGGGCGGTGGCTGTGTGTGTTAGTTTTTTTTTTTTATTTGGTTTTTTTTTAAGGGTGATTTATGTGGAGGGATGTGTCAAAAAATTAGACATTTTATACAAATTCATCATATAAAATTATATGAAATTAATAAAATTTAATCAACAACCTAACTAATTAGTCAATGTTATCACTCAACCAGTCCAATCTAATTGACTGATCAGTTAAGCTGCTGGTTAAATTTTGTTAATTTTATATAATTTTATACGATGAGTTAATGCGAAATGTTTAGTTTTTTGACACATCTCTACACATAACCACCTTTAAAAAAAAAAAAATCAAACCAACATAGCCCAACAAATAGAAGAAAAAAAAAACTCAGCCTGCATAGTTTGATAAGGTAAGTGAATTAGGTTGGACTTTATCAAATCATACAGACTGAGCTGGTGCGAGATGTCTAATACACATAACCACCCTTACCAAAAAGAAAATAAATTAAAAGATAGAAAAAATAAATTAAAAAAAATAAAACCAAACACCCGGCAAAAAAAAAAAAAATTTTGAATTTCGAGCAATTCTGAGGCCTCAAGCATTAATCTAATTTAAAATGTCATGATTTGTGTTCTATATATCATCGAATTAACACTTAATTAGTCACTTTTGATTTATGTTCTATATATCATCAAATTAACACTCAATTAGTCACTTTTATACACTACTGTATAAAAAGTGAGAGGGTAAATCATCGTTAAATGCAAGTCATTAAAAATAAAAATAAAACCAACCAAGAGCAATATAAAATTCGCATCTCCGCCTTCATTTATTATTATGTGGGTGTTTGAGAAGTAGATTTTTATGTAAATTTTTTTAGTTGTAGGATATTATTGGAAAAAATATTTTTGTGTTTTGAAAAATAGTTGGGTTTTTTTTATAATTGGATGTGATGTTTGTAGAGAAAAAGTGAAATAATTATGGGATTGACTGTGATATTTTGTTTGAATTTATTTTTTTTAATTTTGTAAAAACTTTGCCTTCTAGTGAAAAAAATCAAAAAAAAATCAAAATCCAATCTTCCCAAATACCGCCTATTATTTTGGTTATTATTATTATTTATTTAATTCAATTGACCATTTTTATTTTAATTTGTAGCGTATTTCTTCTTCAAAGTTCAACTATTCCAACACCACGATAAAAAGGACGTGAATGCTCTCTATTCCAATGGCAGTTGCCCATGGAAAACTGAAAGCGAGCCATTGAAAAAACTAAAGCGATACACACATAGAGAGAGAGAGAGAGCAACCCACACATATACACATTTGAGAGAGAGAACGACTCTCTGTTTGTATCATCATCAGATCTGGAGATCTAGGCAGTCCTTCCCTCCCTCCGTCCAATTCCATTATTGGAAGAAAGCACAGAGCAGTGTTTGGTTGATGGAAAATGGAATACATAGACAACTTGCCTCCCATGGATCTGATGCGCTCCGAGAAGATGGTTTTCATTCAGCTCATCATGCCTTTCGAGTCCGCTCAACGTGCCATCTCTTACCTCGGCGAACTCGGCCTTCTTCAATTTTCTGACGTACGCTCCCAATCCCCATACACTCCGATCCAATTTTATTTATTTATCCATACGTATATTTATATATTTATAATTGTGTTGAATTTTTGACGGTATTGATCTTGAATCGTGCGCTTGATTTTGTATTTGGACCTTGATTTTCCGTTGCGCGCAAACAACAAATTTCAAACGTTTAATATATATGCATTTTGGACCTTTGACTAGCTGTATGGACAATTGGACACAAATTGAACCCAGTAACTCTGGTGTAACTTGGATTATTATTATTATTATTATGATCTTGGATATTGTTGCAGTGGGTCTTTATATATGTGATGTGTTCTATCAGCAAAACGAACGTTTCACATATTGATTTATTGAAATTGTATGGGGGGAAATTTGCTTAAGGTACAATTGGGATGACATGATGAGTAACCCAAGCTTCTGCATAACCTGCTGGTTTTTTTTTTTTTTTTTGAGTCAATCGGTAGGAAATTGGGATGACATGATGAGTAACCCAAGCTTCTGCATAACTTTTTTTTTTTTTTTTTTTTTTTGAGTCAATCGGTAGGAGATAATTTACAAATATCATGAGAATTACATGATACTTGACGTCTAAGTATATAAGAAAGCCCAACAACTCAATATGACAATCATACAAATAAAGTCAAGAACCCAACAATTATATAAGAATGATCCCCAAATTTGGGAGTAAAGACTCATATATAGGTGGGGAGAATTGAACGCTTGACCTCCTAGTGAGATACGGAGGTTATTGGCTAACAGACTAGCCCTGTTGGTTTTGGTGGGGTGGTCACTGATGCTTAAGTTAGTTGTATCTCTCAACCAATCTATGTACTCTTTAGTCTATGAATGTGCATTCATTAATCTATCTTAAGTTCCTATATTTGTACTTTTAGTTTTGTGGTCTTACGAAAGTTCTATTCGTGTTCTGGATAGGATATACTTTTCCTTTCCTACTAGCTAGTTGAATCCAAGTACAACTCTTTTTGAGTTGTTGGACAAAGATTGTTATGTTAGATAAGATCATGTCTTGGCAAAGTGGGTCTTCTCTTTGTACCATTTTTGGCTCAAGTATTCTAAACATTGGTCTGAGCATGTCAACCTCTTTTCCCATTCCATTCTGGCTTGATTGGTTTTTATCCAGTCTCACAATGCCAAAAATTGGTCGGTTGATTGACTAGGATCCAACTTCATGTCTTAGTGGATTTTATTTGAAAAATCACAAAAGTCAAATTTCTAAACACTTGATGTACAATTTAACCAATCAATCAAATGATCAATCCATAGTAGGATCACAATCAAATCTCATGTAATTAACAAAGGCCAATCACACAAGACATACGGAATTTTAACATGAAAAACCTCAATTGAGATGAAAAATCACAAGCCCAATGCTAACAAATCAATTCACTATATAAAATGAGCGATCACAAGAGTATCTTACGATCAACCTATGAATTCACGTTTCACAGGCTTAAGATGCTCTAGCCGAATCCACGACTTGATCACCTCCCCCAGATTTCACTAAAGGTTTTCACTATTGCCTTTGTAATCCACCTAAGGACTTCAAAATCAGTGTAGGAGAAGAGAATTGTTAGCTTGAAGATGATCAAATCAAGCTCAATGATCTATAGATCTGATAATTAACCTCCAAGCAATGTAAAACTCTCTCTAGATGGATGTATAAATATTTTGCACAAGTAGATAGAGAAACAATGTGATCAATTCTAAAAATGATGCAGTTTCACACATTTATGACTGACTTGCCAACTTAGACTGCTCAAGTGGTCAGTTCTAAGAAACATGAACGCGTGACACGACACAAACATGACACGGACACTCCGACATGACAATTTTTTAAAAAGTGTAGGACAACACTTGTGGGGTACACATGCAAAATATATAATTTTATATATTTATTATATGTGTGCATCATTTAAAGATAATAAAAAAATAAAAATAAAAATAAAAATGCAACACAACCTTCATTCCTATAAAGTGACATTGTTTTTCTTTTATGATTGTATCCTAAATTATTTTGTTCAAATTTATAATTAGTTTCATGGATGTCTAACCGATGAACAAGTATATACTCAGGTGTTTGGGCCTATTTTTTTTTATTTTTATAAAAAAAAAAGACACGTTTAGATGAGTGTCAGATATGTGTTGGGAAGTGTCTGACACAGACACGCCACTTGCTTAGAAGTGTCCATGCCACTTGGGGCAGTTCACCACTTGAGTGGTGAATCAACACTTGCAATTCTTCACAAGCACGCTTCGAGATCTAGAAGGCATACATTCACTACTATACCATTGTTGGATCACTACTTGAGTGGTGGATTCTTAAACTCTGAATTTTGGTCTCCTGAACTGCTTTGGCTTGTCGACGACTGTTTGGTTTTCTTTAGATGATACCTAGACTTGCTTGTAACTTAAAAATGTAAACTAAAAAATACTTATGAGAGCTATGGTATATACAACACAAATGAATTTAGATTGCAACATAAATAAGTATTTGTCATACAGGATTGCCAAAACTACACTAGAGGGCCTCTAGGTCCTATCATAACATAATCCTTCTTCTAACACACATTTGCATATCTTGGACCTTACAAGTACACACACTCACCCTCTCAAGGGTTTATAATAAGGTGAATTTTATTTTTAAGTGAGTTCAGTATTTTGTGTAAGTTGAGTATGTGGGCCTCGGTGATTACTTGCTCGATGTGGTTCTGTGCATGGGAAACTGGGAAAAGCGGCATTCAATTGAAGTTAATGGTGTTAGCGCCCCTCTTTTTTATTTTATTCTAATTTTATGGGGGTAGGGGGAAGCATTGTGTTAAAATGATAGAATATCGGCTTAGTTTTCTCCTATAAACAGAACACAAAAATAAGATCTTTGCATATAGATTGACAAGAATGAGTTGCACTGCTTTCCAACTCAGATAAGTTTGTGTTTGCTTATGCAATGATTATGACAGTGTTATTATTACGAATTAAATTTTGACTGAATTAGATAGAACTGCACTTCTTGGTGGCTTGGTGTTCATGTTATTTAGAATCCATGGACAACTAATGCAAACACTGGAGACTGTTAACTTACACCCATATTTTTTGCCCAAATCAAATTTCTTTGATTTTTTGTTTTTTGTTTTTTGTTTTTTTGTTTTAATCTTGAATACTCATCTTTATGAATTAGTGGATCCAATTATGCTTCATTTGCTATTTATTTATTTATTTTTTTCAAATTACTAATTTTCTTAGTGAATCTAAAAATAAAAGAAAAATAAAAAAAAATCAATTGTCTAGTTATCTAAAATTTTTAATCTGGCTATGGTTAGTTTTTTCTAATGCTTGACCTAATATATTCGGGTGTCCATTTGAATTATTTTCTAGAAAAATATGTGAAATTTTGGTCAATTTTATTTTATGTTATTCATTTATGAGTTAAGTTTTTAGTATGGAATGGTTTCACACCTCATGGCCATTTTCTGTTCTAATTTTTTGGTTCTTGTTAGAATTACTTATGACCAACACCATCCTAGTGATAATAGGTGTGAGGATTGTGATTCATTTTGATCTAACCACCCGTTGTCCATTACTAATACCATTCATTTTATGCATGGTTACCAATCCATCCTTTTCCTTTGTTTCATTTTGATATAACATTTTAAAGACATTCATTAAAACCTTTTTTGGTTGTGTATATCCTAATACTTGATTGTTCTAGGTTCTTAAGATGAGTGTTACAAAATTGTCTATGTGTGTGAGATTGAACTTTAAATGGAATGTAGACTTGGGATATTTTTGTGTTCCTTAGTTGATTTAATGTTAAAAGATGAAACCATGTCCATGTTTAACACCATTTCCCCCCTCACTAAAACTTTTACAGCATCTTTAATTTTTTCCGTTACCTTATTAGTTAATCTGGTGCACTCACTGTTATGATTTGATCTTGGCAGTTAAATGCTGATAAAAGCCCATTCCAACGAACATTTGTTAATCAGGTATTGTTGATCATAGCTGCTATTTACTACTGTAGAGGATGCTCAATCAGAACTGTTATAATTTTTGTGTTGTAATGAGGGTTTGAATTTTACATATATTATACAGGAACAAAAAACTGGAACCTGATTTTAATAGAAACCTTTGTTTTTCTTAGCTTTATTAGTTGCAGAGTAAATAAAGTTGTCAGTATCACTGGCTCATAGCATAAATTCCTGCCAGTGTAACCATATTTTTTTTCCCTTTTATGTTTCCTCAACTTCTGGAATAGGGAAGTCAGCTGGTATTGACACGATCTTGTTCCTGTTAATGAAATAAACAAATAAAAATCCCCATTTTCTGGCAAATTACCATAAATGATTTTAGCAATCTTAGTGTAAAAATTATGTGCCAGTGCGATACTTGGTCACTGTAGTTATATATGTATTTATAAATTGTGCATTTGCTCGTTATCTTACATAATTTCTGTTTTTTTTTTTTTTTTGGTTTCGTTTACCTATCTCTTGGAAGAGATTTTGTGTAGTGAATTTTTGAATTGTGGGGCACAATTTGAAGTCTGAAATTTACCAGTTTGCCTTTATTTTAAAGAAAGCACCACCTTTTTATTTATTTATTTATTGGTGTAAGAATACGGGGAATGCCAAACCAATAGTTAGGCTTTATATAGTTGATTGATGAACGAGTAAAATTAATTATGCACCGTTTTAATGCCTAATTTTGTAGCCTTTTTAACATCACTATTGGTTTTGTGCTATGAAATCTACAACCAAGCAGTAGAGAGATTTTTAGAAGGAAAAAAAAACTGAAGCAATTTTGTATGGCATAACTGCTCTTATGTGACTATTTTTGTGTAGGCATTTTCTGAAATCAAAAAATGCATTACAAAACTTCACCAACTTGGTTGGGGTACCTTTCTTGTTTTCTCTTTCTAACAAACAGAAGTAAATGAGGGACAAAGCTATTAACCTTTGTCATCATTTGTTGAGATGAGAGAGAAAAAAGAAAAGAAAAGAAAAGAAAAAAAGAAAAAAAGAAAAAAGAAAAAAAGAAGAGAAAGCAACAACAACAATAGAAAAACTCAGTAAGTTTTTCTTCTCTTTCTGTGGAATCTGTGCCAAATGAATTTGTCTACTGGATGTTGTGAAATAAATATCCCTCTGGATTACCTTCCGGTATGAACTTAGTGCTAAATAATATTATTTCAAATTTCAATATAGTTGTCATAGTTAGAAATGATATGTGCTGTAGTTTCCCCTTTATAATTTTTGTTTTCATATTTGGGAGTTATTTCACAGGTAAAAAGATGTGCAGAGATGTCAAGAAAGTTACGTTTTTTCAAAGATCAAATACAGAAAGCTGGTTTAATGTCTTCCGTTCATCCTGTTTTGCAACCGGATGTGGAGTTGGAGGAATTAGAGGTTCATTTTCTAATTGTTACTTCCCATCTACTGACAAGTCAGCTTTTTTTTTTTTTTTTTTTTTTATACAAATATTTTTCTTTTCTTTCTGTCTGGGCCGTTTCCCTCCTCCCCTGTTGCCAGTAATAACTGTATGCTCCAAAAGATTGTCAAAAATTTAATAAGTAATTTCTCTTTGTTGTGAAGGAAGGTTTTCTACTTTCTTAGGAACATAATGTGCATTTTCTGATAAGTTGTGAATCTAATGTGCATTATTATTGTCTTTCTCTTAATTCCAGTTACAACTCGCTGAGCGTGAACTTGAGTTAATTGAAATGAATAATAACAGTGAGAAGTTACAGCAAACATACAATGAGCTTCTGGAGTTCAAGATGGTTCTGCAGAAGGTATACTGTCTTGTAATTTTCTTGAGTACAGTGGGGACCAATGTCGTTTTATCTGTTGCTTCTTCAATATTAATGCCCTCCAATAGTTATAAAGGTAGTGGTTGTGTGGACAACTTACCGGTATTCATTGACATATTGTTCTCAAAATCTCAAATTCATATACTTAAGCTGCTCTTTGCTATTTATAGACATGGAAATCAACTTCCTTCTTTGTGTGATTGAATATTTTCTTATCTTTTGCTCATTTCTTAGCTTTTGCAAGCTCAAGATATCAAAACTTCTTTTACATTATGGTGGTTGCATCTACAAAAAATTATCTTCACTTTCTCACACCTACTCGTCAACTTGAAGCACTAGAATTATCTGTAGTTCTATCCTCATTGTTTCTGTATTTGGCTCGCTACCAAACATTGCCTGATGAGTCCCAAGCCATCAAATTATCTCTGTTTCTTTCTTGTTAACATGTCCAGTACTTAGATGGAGTATAAATATAGTGTGAAAGTTGTGGCTGAATATCTGTGCCAAATAATTTTCGTGTTCTTTCTTTCTTGAGTATGTGCATATATGAAGCTTCAATCCAAAATATAGTTTTAGATGCTTTGCTTATGCCTTCTCATGCGCAATTCCAGGCAAGTGATTTCCTTGTTTCAAGTAAGAGTCATGCAATTGCAGAGGAAAGAGAGTTAGATGATCATGTGTACTCGAATGATGTCTATGCAGATACAGCATCTTTACTTGAACAGGTAATTGTCTGCTTTGTCAAATACTGTTTTGCTTGATAAACTACAAACATGATTTCGTTTATTATAGATAATCCATTCTACAGGAGATGCAACCTGGGCCATCAAATCAATCTGGTTTAAGATTTATTAGTGGCATTATCATTAAATCCAAAGCTCTTAGGTTTGAGCGGATGTTGTTTCGTGCTACAAGAGGCAACATGCTTTTCAATCAGGCACCAACTGATGAACAAATCTTCGATCCTGTATCAACTGAAATGGTCATTCTCTTCCTTATTTATATTATTATCTTTTGGTCTTTTGGGATAAATTTGCTTTCTACCCATTTTCTTACTATAGCTTATAATCTGGAAACCTCGAATATATTCTACTTCTTTATAGTATGCTTTCTTCACTAGAGTGCTATGTTGGTGTACTTCTATTGCTTTGAAGACTGTGGCCTGAATTTGTGAATTCAACTGAATTTGTGAAGACTGTGGCCTGTGCAGGTTGAGAAAATTGTTTTTGTAGTGTTCTTCTCGGGGGAGCAAGCAAAGACAAAAATTTTGAAAATTTGTGAAGCATTTGGTGCAAATTGCTATTCTGTACCCGAAGATATAATGAAACAGAGGCAACTAACTCAAGAAGTATGCTGTTAAATTGATTGGCTGCATTTTCCCACATGCTTGCAAGAAAGATAGTTTGATTATATGTTCATTTTATTTTTGATTGATGTTTGTGTAGCACATTATGTGGTTTAGTTTTCTTATGACAAGCAAAATATGTATGGGCCTTTTTGTCTTTATGGGATACATGTATTTCTATATTTCTGATTTGTTGCAGGTTTTGTCACGTCTCTCTGAATTGGAAGCCACCTTGGATGCTGGAACCCATCACCGAAATAAGGCTCTTACTTCCATTGGATTTCAGCTAACAAAATGGATGAACATGGTAAATGTGGATTAGCATTATAACCTTTAAATATCCAAAGTGAGAGGGTACTGCACATCTTTAATTTTGTGCTGAAAAGTAAGTTCAATTATCATCCTTATCTAGGTCAGAAGGGAGAAAGCTGTGTATGATACACTGAACATGCTGAATTTTGATGTTACAAAAAAATGTCTTGTTGGGGAGGGCTGGTGTCCAATAATTGCCAAAACTCAGGTACTTTGGTCTCCTCTTATGTCATTCTTGTTTTGGGCAAAATATCTGCAATTGCTTCCATAATTTTATTACATTATTATCAAAAAGGAAAAGGTTTTTGTCATGACCCGAACCCGCCCCTATGGATTAAGGTCATGACCAGCTAGTAATCAAGGGATTACCTACGGCCTCAAACCTGATCAAACTTATTTTCAATAGAATAAGGGGCCAAAATGGAAGCAGACCTGAAAATTTGTCCAACGAGTTGTGCTTACATGGTAAAACAAACATTCCATAATAACTCACACGTATAGATAAAATTAACAGTTTATGTGTCCAGGACCTTTCAACCATACAGTCAGCCTAACAAAAAGCTCATATACATGGTGATCCAACATATTCATCAAAATAACAAAAGGGAAATCAAAAGTAAAAAAAACAACGCAAAGTCTCATGCGTGAGACATACGGGCTGACTCCACAAAAACTTGACTCCTCTCATGTCTTTCACTGGGGCTGGGTTTGGACATCTCTTTGCTGACTTAGACACACATAAATGAGAGTGAGCGATAGCCCAGTGAATAATATCAAAATAAAGGAGTACATGAATGAAATTTGTAGTAGTTATACCAAACGGCCTTAGGCCCATTCATGATTCTATACAGTACATCAAACGGCCTCAGGCCCAAACGTATCAAACGGCCTCAGGCCCAATTCGTTCTTATCAAACGGCCTCGGGCCCAATTTGTTCGTGTCAAACGGCCTTTGGCCCATTCATTCATGTCAAACGGCCTTTGGCCCAATTCGTTTATGGCAAACGGCCTTTGGCCCAATTCATTTTCATATTCGTATTTATGTGTGCACATACCCGTGATCATGATCACATTCATATTCAATTAGTCTTATGCAAAAGACTGATTTATCCACAATTCAAAATACAAATCTATGAGGCTCATACAGAAGTAACGTTTGGAAAATAACGTACTTGAACATATTTTTAATAAGATATTACTCACAGTGATCTGACGGATGATTTGCCCCTGCGCTTGACCCTACACATTTCATAAACATAATGGTTCACAAGCGATTCAATCCATTCTTAATTCATATATCCTTCTTAGGCTTCTTCTTTATCTTTTTAACTCATTTATAATGCTCAATGCATGCTTAAGAGTGCTTAGAAGTGAAGGAAAACGGAAAACAAATCATAAGACACACTTTTAAAATTTCTGAAACAGGGCTCGGAGCGCAGCTTTCGCCGCTCGAGCAGACCCCTTTGTTCTGCAAAAGTACTGGTTACCTCAGTTTTGCGCTCGAGTATGACTTTGGACACTCGAGCTGATAGTCAAAACATGTGACTGGCCGCTCGAGCGTAATTCCTCCTGCTCGAGCGAACATCAATGTCTGCAAAACTTCTGGGAGTTAACATTTCATGCTCGAGCGGCGCTTTCTCCGCTCGAGCGGACATGCAGAATTCTGGAATTTCCAGAATTGCATTTGAAGTTCAAACTTAGTATTTAAAGGTCCAAAGCTCGTGTTTTTGGTACAAAAACATGGAAGATCAATGCATGGCATGAGAATATGGGTTATTTGAGACCCAATTGACCAAAACCATAATCTAATTCTCAAATAATTTAACATTTTTCTTGGTATGGTTAAAGCTCTTGCATTCAAACTTCATATCTTCATGAATCATTTATGCATGTCAATTATTGACTCCAATCCCTCTTCAAATAGCACAAATGATGCTCAAAATTATGGAGTTCATTAAAATTATGCATGCATGTATGATTTGGTGTCATATTCTTCATGTTTCAATAATCAGCTTCTAATTACAACATAAATCCTTAGAATTGAGTTTCATATCATAATAATTCTCACATGCATGTAGTAAAGGACTCTCAAATTAACATGAACTACATGTTTCATGCTCAAATATGCAAATTCATGGCAATTTATTACATGCATGTGTACATTGACTTCAAATTCATCAAATTCAACTTAATTCTTGTTCTTGGTCACATTACAAGCTAGAATTCATGCAAGGATGAACTTAAACTCATGAAATTGAGTCCATTTACTCACCTAGGAGTTCAAATCTTCCAAATTCTAGCTAGCACTTTGAATTAACCTCTTCAATTTCAAGCTCTTAGTCCAAATCCCCAATTTTGTGCTCCCTCTCTCTCTACAATCGGCTCACTCTCTCTCTAGAGTGTTTATTTCAGATTTTTGAGCTCCAAGGAAATGAATATAAGTGTAATTAGGCCCTTATATAAGCTTGCCTAATCAAATTTGATTAGGGCTAAGTAATGGTGCTTAATTCAATCAGTTTAAACTAATTAATTTGTTCCGAATCAGTTTTCAATTAAATTGCACCATAGGTTCTAAAAATTATGCCAATCACAATAATACAGTCAATTTCAGTTTCTGAAATCTCTACGGCCTTCAATTTTCAAATTATCAAAGTAAGTTGGTCAGATTTTCCTATGGTGAACATATATAGTTTCAAACACATGAATAATCACATAATTACCACTAAAAATCATATTGAACATATAATCACAATCATAATTAAGATTAATTAGCATAACACGGGACAGGGTTATCACAGTTTTATTATGTGCAGATTCATGAAGCACTGCAACGGGCTACAATTGATAGCAATTCACAAGTGGGTATAATATTTCACACAATGGATGCTGTGGAACCACCTCCAACATACTTCAGAACCAACCACTTTACAAATGCATTTCAGGAAATTGTTGATGCATATGGGTAAATTAAAATGTGGTTTTTTTTTTTTGTTTTTTTGGTTGCGTAGACATGTTTCTTTTTGTTCTTATAATGATTGTTGATCTTACAATATAGTATCATTTTTCTTGAAAATATCTTAAAAAATTAAAAATTGAAGCATTCTGTCTAGTGATTTCACCATACACCCATTGGGGAAAAAAATCTATGCAGTGGTTACACCATATGATGAGTCTCTTTGTTTCATAATCTCATTTAATTCCTGCCAATGTACCCCCCAAAAAAATCTTATTTGAGTGCATCACATTTTTACTGCATTCATTCCTTTCCTACTACGGTTGTTCTATGTAAGAGTTATGGGAGCTAGTTTTAAGTTGCACTAAGTGGTCACAACTTTTCTCCTAGTTAACAACTTAACATCACTAGTTACATAGCTAATAAGCGAACCAATTGTTGGCAGCCATGCTTGTAGCATGGTTTGCCATTGTGAAAGAATTTAAAAACAAGTGGAGTATCTCTAATTGTTTGTCAATTGCTGGGCTATAACATGAATTTTTAAAAAAAATATATTTAATTACTTTAATATCTTGTGGTTGGTTTCACTTGCTCTTCATAAATTATATAAACTTTTGGGGTGCACTATTTTGTTATTAAAATATATCCTATGTGTGTGTTTGTGTGTTGATATGCTGGTGTACAACTGGGCAGATCACTAATACAGCATCTTTTGGCAGTGTTGCTAGATACCAGGAAGCAAATCCAGCTGTTTATACTGTTATTACATTTCCGTTTCTTTTCGCTGTGATGTTTGGGGACTGGGGTCATGGAATATGCTTGTTGTTGGGAGCCTTAGTCCTTTTAGCTCATGAAAGTAAGCTTGGTTCACAGGTATATTCTCTTTTCAGATGAAAGGTTATTTTTTTGAAGCTGAAAATTAAATTGTGCTATCAAGGAAAGCAATACCAATACGAAATTTGTTGTCCTGTAGGTGAATTAAGAAATCTTCAAGTTGTTCCACACACACACACATATATATATTTTCCTATTTTGGAAATTGTTGACTCTTTATCACTGGTTTCTAAACGTTCTAACATATGCTTTTTGATTCTGTTGTTTCTATTGAAATAGTTACCCAAAAAAATCATTGCAGGTAATAATTGTATGAATTGATGTGCCTTTTCTATTATAGTAAAGCAAATTTCCTGTTTTCTCAAGACCTACAAATACAATGAGATATGTGCTCGAGCATAAGGATGTGTTTGCAGTGAAATTGCAATGACTGGGATTTACTAGAACTCTATGTTATTATATTAATAATTTTATATCAGTTCCAATTTCTGTAAAGCTCAGGATGTCAAGGAACATATATGCAAAAATAAAATCAAATTTGATTTGGATTATAGAAATTCTTTTGGTTTGAGAAAGTGCACAGTTAAACAGAAGTCTAGTAATGCAAACTAATATTAGCTCCACTGGTTATGAAGTCTCTTCATGTATAAGTGCCTAGAAAAAAAAAGTTTGGATTGAATTACTGAATACCTTAACTTTACACCCTTTGGTTGATGATTTCTAAATTCATGAAGTAACACTGAAATATAATTAAAAGAACTGGTGGCTTTTTATAAATCACGAGGAATTGATGATGATGATTGCTGTATCAAAATTTGTGGAAAGGGTTTGTAGAACAATTAACTTTTGATGTGTTTTATTTATTAATTGAATATATATCAATTTTGCCATGCCAGTTCTGTAGTACCTACAGACTGTGCTTGTGTTTCATATGTACAGTCTAATTTAAGTGTTCATTTTCCTGTCAGAAACTTGGCAGCTTTATGGAGATGCTATTTGGTGGCCGTTATGTGCTCCTTTTGATGTCGCTGTTTTCAATTTATTGTGGGTTAATTTACAACGAGTTCTTTTCTGTTCCTTATCACATATTTGGGGGGTCTGCTTACAAATGCCGAGATACTACATGCAGGTATAGCTTGTTTATCTTGCTTTTCTTCTTTAATAAATCTCCAAGTGAAAAAAACTAATTTTTTTCTCAGTTTTGCTTGTGTTAGATTTCCAAAGCCCTCTTCTCTGTCAGTATAAGCTCCAGGCCTTAGAATTGCTGAAGAGGAGATACAATGTTTGATTGCATTTTATCACTACTTTTGGCCTCCAAATAAATTTTCTTATCCTTTTAGTGCTGTTGGTGTGTGCTGCGTTGGTGTAAAAATGCACAATGTATAAATTGGTGAAAACATATATAAAACTGTATATATATACTGGGAAAATACATCTACTCCATATTATGCCAGTTATGTAATGTGTTGTGCATTCTCATGTCTACTCCACATACGTATGCTTTAGAATATAGGAGCTTAGAAACATATCCTAGCTTACTAGTCCATCTGACCAGATTTTAATTAAGAATATGTTAAGGGTTGCATATGTGATATCAATGCCAGATCCTTGTTCTGGCTATGCTTTTTTCCTTTTTTAAGAAAAGAATTGTATTTACTGTAATGGTGGGATTCTTGCGATCATTTCTTTTAGCATTATTGCTTTTGTGTGTTCCTTATCATGTGCATCAAATTTACTGGTCCCACTACCATCTCACCTACTCCACTAAACCTAACCCACTACACCACTACCATCTCACCTACTCCACTAAACCTAACCCACTACACCACTACCATCTCACCTACTCCACTAAACCTAACCCACTACACCACTACCACCTCCACTTCACCTACTCCTTACCTACTACACACTCACCCTCTTCTATATATAGGAATCATGAATCATTGTATCAATATCAATACATCAAACAATAATACATCAATTGTAACATTCTGGCTATGCTTTTTTCCTTTTTAAAGAAAAGAATTGTATTTGCTGTAATGGTGGGATTCTTGCGATCATTTCTTTTAGCATTATTGCTATTGTGTGTTCCTTATCACGTGCATCAAATTTACTGGTCCTCAGTATAGTTATTCTTGATAACAAAATAAATTTCTATGTAATTTTTTCATGTTTCCTTCTCATATCCACTGTGCACATCTGATCATATCTGAATCATTCTAACTAATTATGTGGCATCTCCTACACATAATAATGCATACATGCATTTCCTCTCCAATTACCCATCCTTGTTCTCTCTCTCTCTCTCTCTCTCTCTCCAAATCTGTGAAATACTTAACAAGACCTGTTTTCTTTGATAGTGATGCACAAACTGTTGGTTTAATCAAATTCCGAGATCCATATCCATTTGGTGTCGATCCCAGCTGGCGTGGAAGTCGTACAGAACTTCCTTTCTTGAACTCTCTTAAAATGAAGATGTCTATTTTGTTGGGTGTGTTCCAGATGAACTTAGGAATCATAATAAGTTACTTCAATGCTCGTTTCTTTAGCAACTCAGTGGATATTTGGTGTGTATTTTCTCCCCTCTCCTTCCCCTTTTTCTACCAGAATGCAATATCTAAATCTAACTAGATTAACATGGAACTTACTTTTTGCTTTGTGGTTAGGTATCAGTTCGTGCCGCAGATGATCTTTCTAAACAGCCTTTTTGGGTATTTATCACTTCTCATTATCATCAAGTGGTGCACCGGTTCTCAAGCTGACCTTTATCATGTGATGATTTACATGTTTTTAAGTCCCTTTGAGGATCTTGGTGAGAATCAGTTGTTTTGGGGCCAGAGAGTACTTCAGGCACGGCCTTTTCTCATTCTTATTGTAGTTTGAGTGAACTCAGGTTCTTTACTTTTGAGTGTTGTTGATTCATAGTAGATATTTTGCAGGTCATATTGTTGCTTTCAGCAGTTGTTGCGGTTCCATGGATGCTTTTTCCAAAACCTTTTATTTTGAAGAAACTTCACTCTGAGGTACACTCCGTTCACCTTTTCTATGTTTATAATTCCCGGACTAATTGATGAGCTTTACTGAATACAACTCAGTCTCTGTACTTATGCTTAATTTATTTGTGTTTATGTTTGTAACAGTTGTTTTCCTCATTTCTTCATGAACTTTTGTTATTGCCCTAGGACACTCGTATAAAACTGGAATGTTATTGTGGTCAATTAAGTATAGTAATTTTAGTCTGTGCTCGTGTGTGCATGCAAATGTGGTTTGATCTGCCATTCTTAGGATTCCAATGCACAATGAGTTCCAATGGGTCAGTGGCATTGCTAGTTCCTGGAGAGCTAGCAAAACAATTGTTTTTATCAGCAAACTTGCTCTTCTTGAATAGTGGTTGTGGACTAAAGTTTGACATTGTTGAGTCTCATAGTCTTATATAGTCAGGTTTCAGTCTTCTCTCTCTGTATGGTAGCAATACATGGAGAGGAAGTTGTTTGAAGGGCTTGGACTTCTTGAAATTAGTAAAGGCCCGTTTGGTTGGACAAATGAACTCATTTCATTTTAAACTAACTAATTCAAAATTTGTCAATTATAAAAGAATCAATTCAAGTTTTTTCTATTTGCTAAACAAAACATTTTTTATATCTCTCAATTTTAGATTAGGTTATCCTGTCTTAAAAAATATGATCAAATCTAAGTTTGATGAAAAAAGCAAATTTTACAGTTATTTCATTTTTACAACCAAACACATCTAATAGTCTAATTTGTGAATGGAGTTCATTCTAAATTGCACAACTCATTTATGGGGACAAGCAAAGGTATGTAATTAATTATTTTGTGTGTGGCAATGTTTGCTAGAGATTTCAAGGGCGTACATACGGGATGCTTGGAACCTCTGAGATGATGGATCTGGATGCGGAACCTGATTCTGCAAGGCAGCATCATGAGGAATTTAATTTTAGTGAGGTCTTTGTACATCAAATGATACATTCTATTGAGTTTGTTCTAGGTGCTGTTTCCAATACTGCATCATACCTTCGGCTTTGGGCTTTGAGGTACAATTAGTGTTTCTGTTTTTCATAATCGCAATTTAACTTATTTATTGTAGTATCTTGTTTTTGATATCTTCTATTGTTATTACAGCCTGGCCCATTCTGAATTATCAACAGTTTTCTATGAGAAAGTCCTCCTCCTTGCCTGGGGGTAAGTTTAGTTACCAAGCTTTAGCCTATTGTGTGCTCTTCTTCTGCAAATTTGTCTTCCATTATTGTGCATCTCTTTGTTGGCTCGCTCTTAACTATTGCAGGACAGTGGCAACTCAGCCCTCAAATTGACTATTATTTTGTGTGTTGTTTAGTCGTTAGTGTAGACCAAGGACTATGTATTCTTAGTGCGGCTGAATCAATTTAAGAAAAATATGTATCTTGCTAAGGCTATGGGTACTTATTTTTTTGACTTATTTGTCTTTATTGAAATTTGAGTCTTTTTTTTTTTTTTTTTTACAACCTTCTTTTTTTTTTTTACTTTGTAGGTTTGTCTCGACCAGACGATTCTAGAAATTAAAAAATTTACTAAAGACAAAAATAAGAACAAATTTATCAAAAAAAATCTTACAAAAATTCATTTATTTTCGTCTTTTTTAAACTTTTTTAGAAAAAAAATTCATATTTTTTAATTTTTAATTTTAGGGTATCTAGTCAAGACAAATCTAAAACATAAAATCATTTGAGTCAATTTTAGACAAATTCATTAAAGATGAAAATAAATCGAACCCAACAAAAGCTAAAACAGCTGATTCCCAATAGAATGCTTTTGTTGTGTAAGATGGTTTTGTCATGTACTATAGACCAAAAAATGTATCAGTAGGGAGGGTGATTTTCTTCAAGTTGAAGGTGTTGAAAGACCATTCACAGACTGCACTTCACATAATGAATCTATATCATTGTCATGATTTCAAGTTCTAAAGACTAGGAATTATTTAGCGATTAAAGTTCCTTTATTGTTTGATGGATCCATGCAACTCTAATGTGCAATCAATTTTCTTTATTATTATTATTATTATTTTTCTACGAAATAAAGAGGGTACACCTGCATCCTTTAGCCTTCCTCAGACCCTTTAGTGACAAAAGTCTTGTACATCGAGCTACCATTTTTTATTAACTTTTTTTAACCATATAAATAATGATTTTTATTGCAGGTATGATAACATCATAATCCGGTTGGTGGGGCTAACGGTTTTTGCCTTTGCAACAGCCTTCATACTGCTAATGATGGAGACCCTCAGTGCTTTCCTTCATGCCTTGCGTCTCCACTGGGTCGAATTCCAGAACAAGTTTTATCATGGAGATGGTTATAAGTTCAAACCTTTTTCCTTTGCTTTATTACCTGACGACGACGACTAGAGTTCATTTCTACTTCAATTCTCTCATTTTTATTCTTTGGCAATGAAGAAAGTGCAATGAAAAAGAGCAAGGAACTTTCCACAACACCACCAAATCCAAGGGTTTAATGGAGAACATTCCTACAAACCCAACTTTGGCTGCAGGCAGGCAGGCAGGCAGGGAAGAATTCTTAGCTTTTAACAGCATGCGGCTCGATTAGCTTAGAAATGTAAAATCTTATCTTAGCTCAGATTCTTCGGATTTTGTGGGTATACAAGGATTCTACTTAGATCACCAAATTGTAATTTTCCTTCCCCTAAGTCTAGATACAAAACGAACAGATTAAATGATTTTGATCATATACACCAGATGATGGGGTCTATCATTTAAGATTAAAGAGACTCTTTCACTCATATTGAAGCCAACTGTTTTTTTTGGATGGTTGGTTTTGTGTTCCTGGACTTTTTATTTTTTTTAAACATTTCATTGCTTCTAAAGCTTCTGAAAAACAAAATAGAAACCAAAAAGGAATGAACAAAAGCCCAACCATTGACCTAACGCTCCGTTTACTTCGACGGAGAATATTTTCAAATAAAAAATACTTTTAATGAAAAAATTTTCTAAGAAAATATTTCTGTATTTGATGGTAATGGTGGAAACATTCTAAAAGTGTAAAGAGTAATGTTAAGAATTATGTTTTACCAAATATTTTATTAAATGTCTCACATGGGTGTGAGACTCACAACTTATGGTGAGTCTCACACCCATGTGAGATATGTAGTAGAACATGTAATAAAATATTTGGCATCCCTAATATTTTTCAAGCGTAAAACACTTTCTATCCAAATAGGTTTGTTTTTCATTGATTATAAAAAAATAAGGTGAATTATACTAATAATTCATGTAGTTTGGGATTTGTGTCATTTTGATTACTGATTTTTTAATTGTGATACATTTTACTTTAAATTTTGAATATTATTTCAAATAAGAACAATTGAAGACATTATTGTGTTGGTTAATTTGTATACTGTTTGAAATGTAATGACCATTTTTATTTAATGAATAATGTTAGAGCTTTGTGGTTATAAAGTTCTATTTGATTTGGTTTTCACAATCTATTTTCAGAAAATCCTTTTAAGAAACTAAAACTTAAATCAGTGAAAAAAATTATAAACACATCATTTTTATATAATTTTATTTTTTGAAAGGAGAAAAATGATTTTTCAAAATATTTTTATTATATTTATTTTCGTTAAATTAGTTTTTATTTTTCAAAAGTTAAATATGATAACGGCTTTGATATCATTATTAAACCAATCCATTAAATTAAAAAATCCAAAGCTAAAAACATTCCATATATTAAACATATGGATTATACATTAAAAGTTTAATAACCACCCACAACATGATAACTATTCAAAAATATCAACTATCGATTACATGATTATTATCCAAATACATACTAAAAATTAATTTGATAATTAAATAAAAAAATAAAAAAAATTATCATTTTTATATAATTTTATCTTTGATGAGTAGAAATAATTTTTAAAAATTCAAAAATAATTATTTCACATTTATTTTTATCGAACTAGTTTATATTTTATCAAATTAACGACTTTGCCCTTCAAATTGAGTAATAGCGTTTTCAATTGTCCTTGTTTAGAACGATATTTAAAATTTAAGGTCAAATGTCTCACAATAAAAATGTTAGGGACCAAAGTGACACAAATTCCAAATTACATAGACCGTTAATGTAATTCGCTCTAAAAAAAATTTGAAACCAAAGTGAGCTCCATGAAAATGGAGTTTTGGTGGAAATTTCTAAAAGGTGTGGTTTAAGGCTTGTCCCACATTGGTTTGGTGGGAAGAATTTTGTAGTAGGTTTATAAGGCATGGGTTTGTAACTTGGGGTAGACCCCAAAAGGCACCCAAGTTTTGTAGAGAGGGAGGTTATGGGCAAATTGGGCTAGACCCATTAAACCCAAAAATAAACATACAAGGGCCGCCGTTCGTCCGGTCAGGCGGGCTCGACTGGGCTTGGGCGCAGGCGCGGGTGCGTGGTGCAAGGTTGGACAAGTTTTGTAAAGAGGGAGGTTATAGGCTAGACCCATTGGATCCAAAAATAAACACGTGCGCACCGCCGTCCGTCTGGTCGGTCGGGCGAGCTTGGGCGCGTGTGCGTGGTGTGAGATTGGGTTGGACTTGTCCAGCCCAATATCTATCTTTTTGGGTCAAAAACATTTGAATTTTATTTTATTTTTTGGTAAAATAAAATCTCTATCCAGAATTCAAATTAATTCCGAAAAGCTGTCTGGTTTTTCTTGCACCCAAATAAGTCCATATCTGTTTAAAGAAATCGAACAGATTCAGTTATCTGTTCAAATTCAAACCCAAATAGTGTCATATCTATTCAAATAGATTTGCTACCTGTTTGATTCAAATTGAACAGCCACCAAGTCATCTATAAATAGGCAGGCCCTCATTTGTTTTTTTCATTCAATTTTCGTCCAAAAATTTTTTGCAATTATTCTTTGCATTTTGTTGCATTATTTTCTTGTGAGAAAGTGTATAAAAACAAAGTATGTTCGTTGTACGAATAATTTGTAATGCTGCAATTATTCGTTGTTGATCATTTTATTCTGGGAGATAGACGTCCATATTCTGAAAGCATCGTGGAGAGCACGAATCTTTCTTAAGGATACATTGTTAAACACTGGACTTGATCAGAAAATTTGTTCAACAAATTAATTTGGTAAGTAATTAATTTACTTTTCTATTTTATTATTTTTTTGTTTCAGATTTTGATTTTGTTTTTGTAACAAAATAAAAATTTGTTTTAATTAAAATTATTTTATTTTCTGGTTTGATTTTTGTAATCAAATAAACTCTCTCCTTTCATTTATTTCTTCTGTATCCCGTTTGTTGTTAAGTATACAAACATAATTTATTTTTTAAATACAGTGAAGATTGTCCAACAATCTTAAGACATATTATTTTTTTGGTGTCTTCATTGTATTTAATTTTCTGTGCTTTCATAAAGTGATATTCTAGTTGAAAAATATAAATAATAGTAATATACTGTTTGACAAATAGTAGTAATATATTGTTTATTTTATTTGACAACTAGTAGTAATACACTAGTGTCATTAACAATTGCAGAATATTATTTTGTGTTACAGAAAATTATTGTGGTATTTTATTTTTCTAGTTTTAGTAACAAGGAAAATAAAATTATTTTGTGTTATAATTTATTTTCTGGTTTTAGTAACTAGAAAATTAATTTGTGTTTCGGTTTTTTCTGATTTTTGTAATCAGATATTATGACTGCTGAAAATAGTACTCCAAATCCGATCATTACAACGACTCCGGTCCCTATCCAGAACCATGTTTAAGTGCCGATAAATCATGGAGAAAAATAGGAAAAATTTAATGGCACTAAGTTTAAGAGATGGCAGCAGAAATGTTGTTCTATCTTACAACTCTAAATTTGGCCCGGTTTCTCCATAAAGAGGCTCCAGTACTTAGAGATGATGAAAGTGATCAGCAAGTTGTTGTTGTTGTAGATACTTGGAAACATTCTGATTTCCTATACAGAAACTACATCCTCAATAGCCTTGACAACATGTTGTGTAATGTTTACAGCCCTCTAAAAATAGCAAAAGAATTGTGGGATTCTTTGGAGAAAAAAATACAAGATAGAGGATGCCGGCAGAAAGAAATTTTTTGTCGGTAAATTTTTAGACTTCGTTTTGGTAGACTCCGAAACGATAATTTCTCAAGTTCAAAATTTTCAATTAATTTTGCATGATATTCATTATGAAAGTATGTCTCTTAGCGAGTCTTTTCAAGTCACTGCTTCAGTGGAAAAATTACCACCGGCTTGGAAAGATTTCAAAAATCATTCTGAAAAGAGAAATGATAAAAATCTTATTGAGTCCAAGGCTAATGTGGTTGAACAAGTGCACAAACCACATAACAAAAAGAGAAAGTTTAGTGGAGATGGTCCTAAACAAGGCGACAACAATGGCAACAAAAAGTTTAAAGGAAAATGTTATAATTGTAGCAAGACTGGACATCGAGCTTCTGACTGTCGCCGCCCTAAGAAGCATCGCGGAAGTACAAGCAAGAAGACCACTAATTAAGCAAATGTGACAGAATTAGATTACATCTCTGACGGGGTAAATGACATCAACCTCTCTATTGTGGTGTTTGAGACTAATTTGGTTGGAAATCCCAAAGAATGGTGGGTTGACACTGGGACAACTTGTCATATTTGTGTAGACAAGAAGATGTTCACTACCTACAATGAGGCTGCAAATGGTGAACAACTTTTCATGGAAAATTCTTCTACTTTTGCTGTGGCTGGACAAGGAAAAGTGATCTTGAAGATGACATCAGGGAAAGAACTTACCCTCAACAACGTACTGCATGTACCAGACATCTGGAAAAATTTAGTTTCTAGTTTTGTTAAGTAAAAATGGTTTTAGGCTTGCATTTGAGTTTGGAAAATTTGTATCAACAAAAAGTGATACGTATATTGGTAAGGGATACATGAGTGATGGTCTCTTCAAGTTGAATGTAATGACGGTTGTACCAAAACTTGCTATTAATAAGAATAACACATCTTTTGCTTATATTCTTGAGTCGAATTTATGGCATGGTAGATTAAGACATGTAAATTTTAATGCTTTGCGTAGATTAATTGGTTTGGATTATATACCAAAGTTTGAAATTGATTCTAATCACAAATGTGAGATTCGTGTAGAAGTGAAACTAACTAAGGCTCTATTTAAATCAGTTGAAAGAAAAATCGAATCTCCAGAATTAATTCATACAGATGTTTGTGATCTTAAATTTGTTTAAACTAGAGGAGGCAAAAAGTATTTCATAACATTTATCAATGATTGCACAAGATATTGTTATGTATACTTACTTAGAACTACAGATGAAGTTTTAGAAATGTTTAAACTCTATAAAACTGAAGTTGAAAATCAACTCGATAAAACCATTAAAATGGTTAGAAGTGATAGGGGTGGTGAATATAATGCACCATTAAATGAATTTTGTGCACAACATGGCATTATTCACCAAACTACAGCACCTTATTCTCCACAGCAAAATGGAATTGTTGAAAGAAAGAATAGAACCCTTAAAGAAATGATGAATGCCATGTCACTAAGTTCAGGCTTACCACATAACTTGTGGTGGGAAGCAATATTGTCTGCCAATTATATTCTTAACAGAATACCCCACAAGAAATCTAACAGCACTCCTTATAAATTGTGGAAAGGTCGACCACCTTCCTACAAATACTTAAAAGTGTGGGAGTGTTTGGCAAAAGTTGAAATTCCTATTCCGAAAAAAACTAAGATAGGACCAAAAACAGTAGATTGTGTATTTATTGGTTATGCTCAGAA